TGCGGCGCGGTGTGCTGAATGTATGCGCCGTAGACCTCTCATGCACGGTGGGTTTAAGGCAGTTGCACATGGCAGCTATGCCGTTTAAAGCGATAGCCATGGGGTACCGTTCGTCATGCTGAGATTCAGCCCAGCTGAGCTGTTAATTAAAACTGCGACAGATGAATTGGGGGAGTGCAGATATGCATGGTAAATATGCACAGCTACCAGGGAGGATCGACCTGACTGCGCATGCGACGGAGGCGCGATCCCAACACACGGCCATAGCCTTGTAGCATCGGGTCCCTGTTATCGGATTTTAGGTCAGCTCCTTTTTCAATTCCGTGACGGCTTAGACGTCTTCTTTGTGTGTCGGGTCTCGTTAAGTGGGTTAGGGCTACAGCGTGAAACATACTTATGACACCACTGACATACGTGGTCTGTGAAAGTAACATATTTATGCAAGTAAATGTAGTAAAAGTGGATGGTTTAAGTGTGAGGACGTATGGTTTGTGCGAAGGATTCGTCTAGAAGTGTTTCATCTCTTTCCTGTCCCCGTTAAACGCCAGCTATCGATCTGGAGAGCGATGCTGCTGGCTCCGGCCGCTACTTCGTTAAAACGCTGCCAGGCGATTTGGCCTTTTGAAGAGGAGTCGGGTCTCTTGGGGACTGATGGAGCGGCCGATTAGCCGAGGGTCACCTTGCAGCCCCGGTTCCGGATCCCTCGTACCATAATTCGTTCCGCCTGGAGACGGGAGAACCCATGGGCGCCGCGTCGACCTCCAGCCGCATTTATAGCGTTGATTTGCGACACCGTTCGGTCCGTCCCAGCTGCAGTCCCTCCGTTAGCATCCTGAATGTTCACGTTGCTCCTTTGTCATTTAAAAATGAAGAGTAACTAATTCATCAGGCTGTTGGATGTATTTAGGGCCACCCGTTGGTTCTACCAGTAAGTCCTAATCATCCACACCTGTCCCCAAAACCAGAACCCCAGAAGATGCTGATCTGTATGCTGATTGAAAATGTGTCACTCTTAATGCTGGTTAATTAAGGAAAATCAGCCATTGTGTAACTCAAACCCACTCTCAAAGCCATTGCCTTTGTCACGGTGATAGGGAAGATGAGCTGAACACCTGCGAACTCGTCTTTTTTTGTACGTCTGTGTGTGTATGAGAGTAACTGTATGTTTTGTATTGTTAATTTAATATGTAACTTATTAAACTGCCTGGAAATTTTGCCTGCCGATTTTTGTAATACTAGTTGGTATAACGATGCCTGTTCCATTGTGTCATGGGTAGAGGAGAGAGTAAATAAAACTTTGTGAGGAAAAACACCATGCGACCTCTGTTTTACACCACATCCCTAGAAGCAGCTAGGGTGCACATAGTCCTCATCCATTTATCATGTTTGAAAACCCTTCCAGTTAGACCTGATGCGGATCTCTATCCCATAATGCCGCGCGTGCTGTAAGGAGGCCTGAAATACTCAAGCCAGATACTCACCAATCTGAGACTATGTGCCTCTCATGGTCGCCCCCTGCAGCACGGACCCTGAATGTATATCTCCGGGGACTGCACCTCACACCACATATGCCAAAGATAAGAAGTGGATAGCAGGTGTGACATGAAGCGGCTGTCCATCATCTCGGGTTTTTAATATCTGTAAACCCGGATAAGGATCACGAGTGGAGCCCGGCGAGCAGCGCAGGAAATGAGATCTGCTGCGCTATTGTTCTCCGCAAGCCCCCGCATCGTATGCGCGGACACTCCCCGGATAGGATGGCGGCGCTTAATCACATTTGAATTGCTGTCCGCCGCAGCGAGGACTTTTAATAGAAATGCGATGATTTTGAGCAAAGCAAATAGGCAGTCAGATCGGGGCGCATTACGATGAGGGGGGGCGGGGCGGGGCGCAGGGGCCCCGGCATGCAGCCAGCAGGCTTGCCGGGCTGAACCGCGCTGCAGCACCGCGGGTGTCCAATGCGTCCTTCCTAACCAAATCAGCCGCAATTGAGTTTTGGAGTTTCTGATATGCCGGAGAACAAGAACCGTTATCCAATCAGGTGAAAGAATGGTCCAATCGTCCGGCTGAGAAGCCTGGGACCCAAAATCCAGACCTTATGCTGGGCCACGCTCGCTGACGGCCCGGTCATTCAGGGTAACTGTTTATGGTTCGATCGGCGCATGGAGGCTAAGGGACGGGGCCGTGTAACTGCACCCAGCGCTGCTCACTAGGCTAACAAGGCCAATGGGAGCTAATCTGTATCCCCGAGTGCAATGGACACTGTCAGACGCGGGAAATACCATGGGCCATCAGAGGGGGGCAATCATGGCACAAATACCAACGGAGCTCAGAATAATCAACACCATTTATGTTCAATGCAGTAATTATATCAGACCAGGGAAATAAGAGTTTATTCTTGGCCTTGGCTAATTGCGTCTTGTTTTATAGTCATATTCTTTCACGTATGTCTAGAGGGCAGCAGATACTAAAAATGGCCTCATTTCTAGCCCGGTAACAATACTCACCGTGGCTGCGCCATGAAGGGTTGCGAACAGTCTCGTGAAATATTTCTCACTCCTGTTCATTTTGCCTCCCTATGGGTGTCCCTTATATGTCCAGCAGAATTGCATTTTCTTTTCGTCTCTTTTTTTGCTCCTTTATTGGCGATTTTCTGCTATTTGTTCGAATTAATTCTAGCTTAATGTTTCTAGTACAGTGACAGATCCGTGCATAAGCCGCGGCAGTCTTATTGAGATTAACGTTGGTGGGAATACTAAAATAGGAATAAAAAAAAAATACCCAGAGTAAATTATAGCAACCCGCCCCTTTCCGTCCTACCCGGTCCATGGGAACAAAATGTTAGAAACACCATGAGACAGCTTTAGTGAAAATGTAAGATCTAAGCCATTTTCCCTCCATTGCACCATGATGGTAACCTCAGCATTTTTACCCTAAAATCATTATCCTTTAATTTTGCTTGCATTCTTTTTGTCAGAAGATGTTATTGGTTTTCCAGTATGTATTATGGTGCTATTCCCTCCTGGCAATGCATTTCGTGTTGAGTGGTGTAATTGCCTCAGTATCCCTATATTTTAGTTTGGGTGATGCGAGAGAATGCGCCCCCCCCCCCCCCCCCCAAAGGATGTTGGATCAGCCACTCCACTAATGGTTAACCTGGTAGCCTTGCAGTGATTCCGGCGACAGCGGGCGTAACCCGTGGGAGTGAGAGGTCACACGACAGTCTGCGAACCCGTGATTGGAGCATTTAGTCCTTTTCTTGTGGACACACAGGGGGGGGGTGATTTTTATAAAACACAACAATGCCCCAGTCAAGGCTAATATTTATCAAAAAAGAAAACGCAAGGGGAAATATCAAGAAATGCTTTAAGGAAAAAAAACTCAATGATACACGCAGAATTAACAGTAAACAAAAGAACAAAAGCGGAGACAGCTCTGTGTGCGGAGATAAGATACCTCCCCCTAGCCAGACCCCCCACCCGTCTTGGATTGGTTACTGGTTTCATCCCACTACGTCGGGCTGGGGTCAGTGTGGCCCCTCCCAGCCTATTAGACGCATTCCTCTCCCAGCATCCTCCTGCTGCCCCTCCATCTGCGGCCGCAGAGAAGCATGCGGTCGCATGTCATTAAAAGTTTATTCGGTTCAATTAAACCACAAGGCTGCTTCCTGGCCATTATGGGGATGCAGGGCGCCACTTAGACGGACAGGGACACCGGGGAAAGGTTTCAGTGCAAGAAAAAGGAGGCAGGCAGGCGTACGTTTCCTGGGGGTATCGGTTTGTGGGAAGGTGACCCACCCCCCCCGGGGTGCACTCGCATAGCGGGGAGGACAGTGGCGCACGGCGGACCCCCTCCCGCATGGCCTGCCAGCGCGACAATTAGCTTCTCACGTCGCATCGACCACTTCGCTTCATCCGCTCCCTGCCCCCCCCATCCCTCCATTACTGCCCCCCTCTCCCCAACCCCGCTCAGCCACACAGCAAGCGGCCTAATTGGAAATGCCGCCGGGAGTCTAAATGTCAGCCGCTTCTGCGCCGCCGCTGTTTAGCGTCCCGATAGAGAGGAAGTCTGCGGGCATCGGAGAGGGGGGCGTTAGGGGGGTAAACAGAGACCGGAGCCTGGCAGGTGACACGGGCATGGGCTGGGCGGGATCCCGGGACACCTGCACGCCTCACCTGGGCCCATATGGACCCGGGACTTTAAGAAAAGAACGGGCAGCTTGATTTCGCATTCAGCTGGAGACGCGTGTCTTGACACGAAAGCCCTGGAGGTGGGAAAGCGAGCGTGTTTGACTGAGTGCTGGACTGCAGGCCATCGCTTACGGCTGACCGCTGAGGTCCATGTCAGGTTTACGCTCTGCTGACACCCAGGGCCGCACAGAGACACGGCTGGACTCATAAAAAATGACACAGAGTACCACTCGTTCTCCAATTATCCACAATCGAACACCCCCCCCCCCCCCCCCCCAGTGTCCAGGCTTCTGAAAGTCCTCTCCTTCATGGGTGACCCTGCTGATACCCAAACAAACCCATAACTCCCCCCCCCCCCCCCCCGACCTAAAGATGTTCACCCTTTCAGTGCCATATACATCCTAAGTAGCGACGTCACCATATGTTCTTCGAGCTAAAATTAGCATCATTAGCCATTTTGGCGACTGACGGCTGGCAGTAGCTGTGTGAAGGGCGGGTGACACATGGTAACACATGGTGACACATGGTGACACATGGTGACACGCACAGGGACGGACTTCCTGACGGAAAGCGGGCAGACAGTGTGGAGGCACAACGATCGTCACTGTGATGGACAGGCATGCAAGCGGACTTCGGTTTCACACCGACATGAGGACCACACAGCTGCCCTCTGCTGCCCTCTGTTGCTTGGGGCCAAAATAACCCGATCCGGCCCTCAATGCTACCCTGTCCAGCAGAAGCTTCCAAATGCATCATTTGTGCATTTTATTCCTCCTCCTCTTCACCTAATCTTCACCGTTATTTAATTACTTCGCTCCCCCCCTTTCACTGCTCCCTCTCTTTTCCCCTCATTTCTTTCAAATGCCGTGTTTAGACTATACCAATCCCTTTCTGCGAATAAGAGGGGGGACAGCGCTGCTGTCTGTCTGCATGCCGCGGCATTGCAGCGGGAGGCTGAAAGGGAGAGCAAAACTATGGGAAAACATCCTTGAAATCTTCTCCGTCCGCCTGGCAGCCGTCGGCGACGGAATCCGGTGCCGCCTCTGAGCTCTCTCTGAGGTTTGGGGTTATTCGCCCCCTCCCTCCCTGGCTTTTATTGGTGAGCCAGTCTGGAAAGGAGCGTGAACAAAGCAGCAGGAACGGAGAGGAGAGCCGCTGAAAGAGTGAAAGAACTGACACTCACGCCTGCTCGCTCACTCGCTCCGTCGCCCGGACAACCAGCAGCAGAGGAGAGAGCACGGGCAGAGGGAAGGAATAAGGGGAAGAAATGTAGAGAGTGAGCTGCTTCGCCTCGCAGTCAGCTCCAGAGGATCCCAGCCGAGAGCCTCAGAATAGCGCTCCTGCTCTTTTTGGACCATATGAAGGAGACCCACTTCAGTACACAGAGTTGAGCCCACGTCCCAAAACCGGCTTCGAAAAGGATCAGCGGCTGAGAATCCCCAAGGAAGACCAGACCGGTACCGGACATCCCACGTTACTTTGGACCCCCACCAACTTCTTGTCAGGGGCAGGTAAGATTCGTCGATTACCCCCCTCCCCTCACCGCTCTTCATTCCTCAGTAGTTTCTTTCGTGCACAACTTCCTCGCCAGACACACGCGTGTTTCAGCATAACAGACAGCTGCCGGTGGTCCGAACTTGCACACAAACACAATCCGTTGTGGGTGAGCGCTCTTACCGGCGCCAACGCGGCACTGGGGGACCAGCTTTGGAAAGATAAATGGGTTGGGGGCTGTTCCCTCTCCCAGTGACATGGACAGGGATGGTGGCAGATGATGGCTCTGATGGCCCACAGATGGGCTACTTTTCTGTCGATAAGCTGCAGGTCAAGACTGCCTGGTCTTCCTCAGTGGGGGGCAGTACGAGATAGAGCAGGCTGATGGATGCATCAGGCTGATGTGCACTGTGTGTATTTATGGGGGGGGGGGGTCCGTGTCTATCCATTCAAACAGTGACAGGCAGCAGCTCATCCATTAAAGTGTGGATTTCGGGTAGAGTCGGTGTGGCCCGTAGCGTTGTCCATCTAGGGCTCACCTTGTCCTCACTGGGACTGGCTTTTTCACACCTACACCTGGTGCAAGGCCTGCTTTTCCACCCCCCCACCCCCAAGTGTCTTGAACTTTCACCTAAGTGACTCAAGCTTTGTGGGGGTGGGGGGTGGGAATTTCAGATGTCTGAGTCTTCCCCAGACACATGATTGAGATTAATGCCCCATTAAACAGGCGTCCATGATTCTGTGAATTTACACCAAATTAAATTTGTGGGGCAGCAGGGGGAGTGAGAAATCCATACTGGAAAGGGAGGAGAGGGTGAGAGGGGATGAGTCTGGAGGAAGGAGGGAGGTGTCTATTTTTAGCACCTATCCATAAAGAAGGTTACGCACCCGCAACCTCACCGTAAAACGCTCACACACACACGCACAAGCACAGCTGATAATTATACGCAACCTTTGGCAAGTGACGAACCCCGAGTCGGGGGGGGGGGGCACGCTTGCCTCAGTGACACACACCAAGGGCACCGTGGCGGGAGGCGGACGTCTGCCGCTGTTAACACCACGGGACCCCCGCTTTCCCGTACAACCCGGCGCCAGATAATGGCAACCATCCATCTGCCGTTTCACATCTGACTGCATCTGATTAAATGCAAACGCTACAGATCTCAGCCCCTGCCAGGGCTCTGAAATGGAAAAAACACACACGCATGTGTAATATATATATATATATATATAAAATTATGATAAAGGCCCAACAGAAGCGCTAACAGAGGAGGCTGACCGTTATAAATTCTGTACGCCTCTCTTTGGTTCCCCTTAATGAAACCGGTGTCTCCATCGCTGTCGAATGGCTGGACATTTATAGAAGCCAATAAAAGCTGCTGGATGATGCCCCCCTAGTGCATGAGAGAGCGCTCAAATCTCCTGTGCAGATGGGCACGGAATGCGGGGAGCCCCCCCCCCCCGTGTAAAGGCTCCCGTGTAAAGGCCGCCTCGCACCCGCGAATCGCAGCGTACGGGGCTCGGCCGTGAGGAGCATTAAACAGGCCCTTGCATTTCCTCACCATTCATCTGCACATACTCTGATAGACTCTCTCCCCCTCCGAAGGTGGGAAGCAGAACAGGATGTGAGAGATTGTGGGAGCTTTGCTTCCTTAGCCTGTAAACATGCCCCCCCATCCCGGCTGTGCTTCCTGAGTAATTAAGGTGCCGGCGAGGCCGCGCCTTTGCCAACACGGGACCCTCGTGCTGCATTTTCAGACCGTGCTACGGGTGTGCAAATGGCTGTTTGGATGGAATGTATTGTGCAGGCCGGGTAAGAATGGCACCAGCTCAGCTCAGTGTGATGAATGGTGTACAGATGGACCGGAGGCCTTGGCTCCCGCAGCCCACATCGCCAAACTCCGCCCCTCCTCAGAGATGGAGAACATCCTCTTATCCATTTATCGCAGGGAAAAGCAAAAGGTGCTTCACCGTGTATATCTACAGCCCAGAAGATGGGATGTGCAATGGGGGGGAGCAGGAGTTTCCGCCCCATCGCCATCCACACCCCCCCACCCTCACCCAGCCCACCTCACAAACACCTCCAGTTGAGTAATGAGTTTGCCCTCTGAGGGGCCAGGGGCAGTGGTGGCTCTTGGCTGGCAGACTATCCCAGCGGACCTGAATGCCATGCAGTTTTTTTCCACACTCCTGACAGAGTGGTGAGGGAAACCGGACCCTCCAGAATTACTGCAGAAGGGTGGTGGGGGGGGGGGGGATTCCTCCTAGGTCCAATCTTCCCAGGCAGTTTAGTATGTCACAGGAAGTCAGCCAAAGCTCACGTGCGTCTCTGCGTTCCAAGCAGGATACCAGCGGCCCGTTAGTTCTGTAGAATCTTGTCATGACTGCAGAGCTTTGCACCTCTGACACCGACGGGCGAGCCAATCTTATCTGAGCGCATTTCACAGAGTTTAAATGCGCTCACGATGCACCGGGCGGGAGCTTACAGAGATCTCCCGTGGAGCACTCAGCGAGAGTGTGAGCGAGAGCAATTAGATAGCAGCTCGTACGCAGTCTCCGGTACGCTGTGCAGCGCATTCTAAACGGGAGCCTTACGGGGGACAGCCGTGGAGAAACAGATCAGCCTAACTGCAAATCCCACTGGTCTAACCCCCCCCCACCCAATCACAAATAAAGCTGCCTCAAGGCAAGTCTAATGTACCCCCTCGTCCTTGTGTGCTAGCGACAGTGATCCGTCACCCTTTAACGAGCGTTATTTTCATGATTCACATTCTGCCGCAATGTTGACTTACCGCTGCCGTGCGCGAAGGTGCGGGGCAGACAGGTGGTGATTCAGTGCTGTGCCCCTGCGTGAGTGTTCCTCTCTGTGCCACAGGGGCGGCGATGGAGACAGAGGATGAGCCCTTGTTGCTCTTGGCGGACCCGGGTGTCACAGAGGAGGTGGAGGAGGAAGAGGGGGAGGAAGAGGAAGATTTCGAGGATACACCAGTTAGGTGCGATCATGTTGAGGACAGTGGGCTTTGGGGAATATGGAGAGCCATGGGCTGGGTGTATACTCAGGTCTGGGTGTGCATCCTGATCCTTGGGGCTGGAGTGTTGTTGCCCTGTGCCCTTTGTGCCTACATGTTCCTGCACTGCCCCCCACTGGACATCGACCTTTCCTACAGCGCCTTCGAGGTACGGAGCCACTCGTCGGCACAGCGATTTGATGCCCTCACCATCGCCCTAAAGAGCCAGCTGGGGTCCTGGGACAGACACAGGCGCGATGTGGGCAGCGTCGACACCCAGGCCCTCCGGGACTTGCTGCTTAAGCGGCTGGGCGGGCGAAACAGCAAAGGGCCCTTAAAGGCTACAAAAAGCAATCTGATGGCGGAGGGACTGGCGTGGAACACGACGGGGAATGGAGGCTCGAGGGAAGAGGCCACTGGGGTGAACAGTCATGAAACACACTCAAAGGAAAAGGGCATAGCGGGGGAAGTGCAGCAGCAGAAAGAAGAAGGTAAATCCGGAGACCCAGAGGATGATGGGGGACAGGGAAAGACTTTACTCAGGCTGCCTCGTTTTGCTGGGGGATCATCCTACTACCTGCAGAGTCAAGCCATGTGGAAGATGGAACTGGTGTTCCTGGCCCAAGGCGAGGACGATGCCAACATCTTCACCCCCGAGCGTCTGCGCACCATCCACCAGGTGGAGCGCCTGGTAGTGCAGCACCCCCATTTTAGGCAGTTCTGTTGGAGGCCCCTGGAGATTCTGAGGGACCTCCCCCTGGGTCCATCCTACTGCTCGCCCCCCAGCTCCCTCCTCTCCTACCTTTTCCCCAGTGAACGAGGAGGCAAGATTTACTATGATGGCATGGGACCAGACCTGGCCAATATCAGCGGTGAGTTACGAGCATGAGTGAGGGTGTCCTTGTCTGCAGTTATATTTCCTTCTTTGTGCATGTGTGTGTGTGTCTGTGTGTGTGTGTCTGTGTGTGTGTGTGTGTGTGTGTCTGTGTATTAGTTGGATTCAAAATTTATTCAGGGGAAGCAGGTGGTGACAGTGTCAAGAAGCTTGACTACCCTTGAGAAAAGTCTTTGCCCTGAAGGGCTCGAGGAAATACACCCAGTAGTGTAAATAGGCGAGAATAGCAACTTAAAGACATGCTGGGTACTGTAGATAAATGTATCCTTTAAGCAGCCAAAACCATGATAGGAGACAAGCTTCTGTTATGCTGATGGAACACAGTGCAAGAATGGGAGCAGCGTCACAAGATGCTTGCTGTGTTTGTCTCACTTGTATGTCACTTTGGACAAAAGTGTCTGCTGAATAAAAATGTGAAATGTAAATGTGCTGGGATGAGTACTGGGTGGAAGTGACTCCTGTGAGCAGGGTTAGCATGAGGATTGGGGTAAATTTTGGAAAGAATTTTGGTAGTAGGGTTGGATAAATGTTGCTAGGATGAGTGTAGGGATGAGTATTGTTATGAATTTTGGGAAGAATGTTGAGAGCATAGTTTGGACGAGAATGCTAGAGTCATGGGATGAGTACCGGGACGAGTACTGAGATGAGTACTGAGATGAGTACTGGGATGAGTACTGAGATGAGTACTGAGATGAGTACTGAGATGAGTACTGAGATGAGTACTGGGATGAGTACTGTGGTGCGTACTGGGATGAGTTCTGGGATGAGTACTGGGATGAGTACTGAGATGAGTACTGAGATTCATTTTGGGAATTAGGTTGGAGTGAGTCCTGTGATGAGTGCTAGGAGTTTGGTTGGGGTAAATGTTGGGATTAGTGTTGGCTATCGTCCCTCTTGAAGTGTGGTGACAGTGGCGGCTCCCGCTGCCATTCGTACAGGTGCCCTGAGCTTGGCCATCACCCACCCGCAGTTCTACTGGTACGTGGACGAGAGCCTGACGCCCAGCCGCCTGCGCAGCAGCCTGCTCCGCAGCGAGATCCACTTCGGCGCCCCCTTGCCCTCTTTCTTCTCCCTGCAGGACCGGCTGGACGAGCAGAAGCGACGCTTCCGCAGTTTCGTGGTGCAGTACGCCGACATCCTCGCCCGTCAGTCCACCAGGTCGGCCCCCAGCCCCTGGCTCCGCTTGCCCGTGGCTGCCATTTTGGAAACGTTGACAGGAGGATTTGCTTTGCGTGCTGCTAGCGTGTCGGGCTGGTATTTTTAGAGATGTGCAATTAAAACCGGCACTTTTGCTGGTATATGAGCACAGCTGGGAAGCTTATTGTACGATCATTGCTACGATTATTAAAGGGACCGTGACGGAGAACCCCCCCCCCCCTTCCCATCCCTATCAGCCAGGTAAAGGTGCTATACGGGGGTACGGAGCTGTTTGACGACGAGGTCAGGCGTACCTTCCACAACGACATGCTGCTGGCGCTGGTTAGCGGGGC